TGTCTTCACGGTGCCAATGTTTTATATTTTGAGAAATTAGTATACATGTTTTCTATTTCTTCCATTTCTATATACTCTGCTTCATATAGTACAACTATGATTAATTTATGAACATATGATGATGAAACAAAAATAAATGTCAGATGACTGTTTGTAGTCGATATATGAATAACTTTGCTGCTTTACAGCTTAGTATTTGAAACTTAAGGATGCAGTGTCAATAAAAAAAAGTGTTCCTGTAGATATTTTGTTTAGTGGTACATGGTAGACTAATTAAAAGATTGAGTTTGATGAGAAACATCCTTATCAGAAGAGAAGTTCAGAGTAATGACACAAAATCTAGCAAGATCTAAGGGACACACTAAGACCCTGATATTCGAAATCAGCACAGTGAACTGCATATAGTTATGTGTGTTTCTACGAAAAAATGTTTGATCACTTGAAGAAGTTTTCTCGTAAGTCTATCTGATAAAAAAAATATTTAATTTATCTAACGATTGTATAAAACAATTACAAATGTATATAGATCAGCAGAGCTGCAAAGAATTTCAATAGATATAATGTCATTCGATTCCTTTACTATCAGAATTAAATAAAGATATATGTAATAAAAAAAAAATTCACGATCGATTGATGAACTAGCTATTAAAAAAACAAACTGAAATCATTTTTTTTATTCTTTTATTAAAAAAAATATATTCTATGAGCATCACAGGGTTTAATTTTAGACTAAAAGAAGTACATAATGGGATTAAAAAAAAACACTATTAAAAATAAATCAGTTAGGATGAAAAATATAATGATGATCATAGCAAATGACAATCGATGAATAAAATGATAAAAATCGACTAGCATACATTTCGATGATAAGATTCATTTGCAAAGATTAAACAATTCATTTGGATGATTTTTTCACACTTGATGCCCTCTATTTAAAATAGAAAAAATATCTTTTTTTTTTTCTTCTTTCAAACAAGAAAAAAACAAGAAGAATCTTACGATTGTCTGTATTCTATTTAATGGTGTTAAATGATTTAATGTTGCAGTGTCATAACGAGAAACAAGATTAATTGGTACATTATCTGGTCGTATAGGAACAAGTCTGTCAATAGTTGATGATGAATTATCTCGATTAGATGATGTATCATCTGCTTTTCTGTCGTTCACTTGTACTGCTAAAGAACGCGTTGTTAAAATATTTGATTTATCAACTAATTCAGCAGAATTTTGTTTACCAACACCCGCTGTTACTCTTTGACGTTGTTGTTGATATTGTTCAGTAATACGTTTTGGATTCTATTTATTAAACAAAATAATAATAATAATGATCAATTAAATAATATAAATTACTGATGTTTGAATCGGTGGTTGTATTGCTCGTATATCAAGAATAGAACGATTTTGTAAATTAATTATGGTTGATGATTTTGGTCGTGTTTGAGATCGAGGTATACCTAATAAACGTTCATTTACTTTAAAATAGAATACAACTATCATGTATATTTTTTCTTTATTAATCAAAACTTACAATGTGTAGAAACTCGATGAGTGACATAATTATTAAGTTGTTGTTGTTGTCGTCCATCATCACTTTGATTTCCTGTTGTTATTCGACTTACATCTAATTCACCTTCATTTTCAATAATTACTTCAATAGAATTATTCTATGGAAATAAAAAATATTCTTTACGAAAAAGAAATTTTATTAAATATATTCATACTTCATCAATACGAGAACTTGATGCTAACAATGGATACATAGTTGTTGAAAGACTTGTTGCATTTGTAACTGATTCACGTTCAATCCCTTCAATAAACAAAAAATAAAATACCACAAAAAATGAATAGAATATAATGTTATTTAATTATTATTTAGAAATTCAAATTGACAAAGGTTAATTATGAGTTCTAAACAAATTTTTTAATCTTATAATGGATAGATAACTACATATCAATGTGGGAATCTAGTAAATACAATCAATTTATAAAACAAAAAAAAAACAATAACAAATATATTCAAACTGCACACCTCGAACATATTGCATTGGAAATAAGGCTGAAAATAAATGCATAATATATAAGAAATATTTTAATAATGAAATAGAAAAATAAATGTAAATGTTTTTTTTTTTTTTTAGTTTTTAAATTACTTACAATTAAGTCGTCGAAGCAAATAAGTAGCAGTAAAAGCATCCCGAGGTTCGTTAACTAAATGTATTTCATTTGTTATATTGGTTTGAGATGAGGACATAGAAGAATAGCGAAGTGCATATTCTAGAATTAACATGAAATGATGGTTAGTAAGATACTTGAGATGAATATTTTTTTCGAAAATTTATCCATCTTTAAAAAGAACATCTCAAGTACCTGGTTTAGATGTATTTTTTCCTGATGATGGCTGTGATGGAAAAAGTGAAGAAGATGTTAGTAGGACATCATCATCTGAAAGCTGTTGAGATAGTTGACGTTTATCTCGTTGAGTAAGTGGCACATCTCGAGTTAAAATTTTGTAATATTCAGCCTAGAAGAAGAAGTAGAAGCAAGCTATACACACATGCACACACACACACACACACACACACACAAACAGAGAAGTATAAAAAATATCAGAATGTTAAATATTAGATAAGATCTAACCCACCCCTCCCATAAATAGTATTGAAGATCTGCTATAAATCAAGATGAACAACACATACCTAGAATTCTCTTATTCTATAAATACCTGTGACTGTTGTGCTCTTTCATCATTTGGTGTCATTCGATTAGTTGTATTATTTGTTCTTGATAATACTGGCCATCGACTTGTTCGATTATTCGTTTCATTTGATCCATCATTTCGTGTGGAATCACTATTAGTATCAACTCGTTGTATTAAAGGTGGTGTTGGTTTACGTGTATTATCAACCTAATAAATACAAAGAAAAGTCATATTAATTAACTAAATAAAAATCAATAAAGAAGAAGAAGAAGAAGAAGAAGAAATATAGCGATTATTCAAAAGTAAATCAAACAAATTAAAGAAGTAGCAAATATTGCGCTCTATAATCCTGAAAGTAAACATTATGCATAGAATTCGAAATACTATAATAAGAACACAGGCAAAGGAGTAAAGAATCTAGCATTCATTTTCGAAATATTTATAGATCTATATTTATTTTCATGAAAGCTAAGTAGTACCAATGATGTTTCCATACGAGAAGGTCGAGCATTTAAACATGCATAACAGTTACAAACAAGATAAGAATCAGATCCACGACGTTTTCTTCGTCGTCGTCTTTTTTCAAGAACAGTCTGGAAAAGTTTTTCATTGAAAAACAATGATAGCGATATGTTAGATATTTACCTGTTCTAAACTATCATTATTTTCAGCTGTTAGAATACTAGTTTCTAATAAATCCTTGATAATGAAAAGAAAACAAAGATTATAGAAAATAGATCTCAGAATGAATTATGATAGTAAGATTAAATCAAAAAACAAAATATTAGGTATATTAAAGTTAGAATGAAAAGAACTTACAATGGTTGGAAAGCGGGTATTACGAGATTTGGATAAGGGTAAGCCAACAACAGTTTTGGTCTGATTACAAATACAATATCAAATAAATGTTGACAATATTTGTATGTATTAAAATATATATTTACTTTTTCAATATTTTCTTTATCATTTTCATCTTTTCTTTTTGATTCTTTCGATGCTTTTGTAGTTGATTTTTTCTTTCGAGTTTTTTTCAATTGAACCTTAAAATAATATAATGAATTTATTAGCTAGACTTTTTCTATAATTAAATTTACTTTAGCAGCAGCAATAACTTCTAAATGTTTTGGTAGACCATCATCAATTGATGAATCCGATCCTCCATCATCACTAAAATAAATATTCGATTTATAATTAATTTTTTCTTATTTGTTTTTAATACCTCGAATCATCTTCAGATGACCATTGATCTAGATCAATATCATCTAATGATGGTGCATTAATACCACGTGAAAGAAGTTTCATTTGAATTGCATGTCGTAAATTATCTTCTAATTCATTCAATATTCGATCACGCTAAAATATAAAATTACAATAATTATAATCAAATATTTTAAACAAAAAAAAAATAACGAACAAAACAACATTAAAAGAAAGTCTACAGAACGAACATAAGAGAAGAACATAAAAAAATATGTACTGAAATTATTAAAATTTTGTTTTTTTTTTCGATGTTGAAACTAATGATGATAAATCTGATTGATATATATTCAAAGAATGATTTATTAATAAATTAATTGAAAAAAAAAAACATAATTGTATTAAACTTACTTTAGTATGATCTGGATCACAATAATCAAGTAAAGAATCAAGAAAATGATAACCGATAGATTCAAGATCTTCTGTAGTAAATTGATGACCTGCTCGATTCTGTTGTGTTGATCCACAAAAAGTAGCCTGAAATTTCAATATCAATATAAGAATATATATTGTTTAAAACGAAATAATTAAACCTCTAATGTATAACTATTCATAATACCCATTGCCCACATCACTACACGTCCAGTTCCTTCTTTATTTTTTTGTACTTTAAATTTACATGAATAATATGAAAACTAAAAATAAGTGAAAATTTTAAAGACTTCAAAAATAAAATGAAAAATAATAAGATATAAACTTTAGTTGGATCATTTTTCGATAAGATTGCTGGAAAAATTCTTTCTTTGAATCGTTCATTTGGTAAATGTTTATTTTCACAACCATAAATGAAAACATTTTGTTTTCTTGAATGTCCATGAAAATCACAATAAAGAATAAGTTCTGTTTCAGTCATAAATCTATAAATATAAAATTTAATTTAATCTATATTACGCATCTATCAAACTCGAACGTTCGAGTTTCGCTCTTGACTACAATCATTTTCAATCAATTAAAATAAGGAAATAGAAGTAAACCTAATGAAATGATATCAGGTTTGACTATAGTAGATCTACATACAATGGAATAAATAATCCAAAAACCGAACGTCTGTAGGTATACTAAAAAAGTCAACAATATTTAGAAACACTCGACTTCGAACTTTAGAATGCTTCCATGATTGTTCATATACCTCAAGAAATGCTTGGTCAACTATCTGAACTGACTAGATAGTTTCGAATATCGAGTCAGAGTTCGGATTTAGTGTATGCCTAATCTATATGAATATATGAATGTTCAAACCTTTTGACCATTTCTCTTGTATGCCAAATAGATGGATAAGCATCTTTCAATATTGTTTTATAATTTCGATTTAAATCTCGACCAGCTAGTGAACAACGATAATTACCAACGATAACACCATCGGGATTAAGCATTGGAATAATTTTAAAAATAAAATTATCTCGAAGAAGCTAAAAACGAAAAAAGAACAAAGATAAATTCATTTCAAAAATTATTTGTCATACTTGTGCATCAGCTGAATCACCAAGTAAAAAATCTAATAAACCTTTCATCATCCATGATGCATTTGTTTCACCAGGATGAACACGTGCTGTAACAACAACACCTTTTTTCATTTGTTGTTCAGATGATGTGGATACATTTGTAGGATTTATTGTTATTGTTGGACTTGTTATTGTTAATAAATAAACAGAATTACCAGCTAATGTTCGACAAAGAACTTTTTGTTTACAATATTGACTTTTTATATGATCAGATTGAATATCATTTAAATAATCCTAACAATTAAAAAATAAATTAAGAAACGAAAAAAATTTATTATCTAATTACTTGTAAATCAGAATATGTATATGGATAACAATGAGCAAAATAATATGTATCATTATCATTTGGAAATTTACATGTCCAAGTGAGTGAATACATATTTGATGAAGGATTATCAGGTGCACTAAAAATAAACAATAAATAATATTTTCAATAAATACCTAAATATTATTCATACGGTAAATTATTTCTATAATAGACTATTTCTTCGCCCCATCGTCGCCAACCAATACTTTTATTTTCTGCATCATTTACACTATACATCAAAGGTTTCATGCCATTACTATAAAGACTTGTCGGCTAAAGAGTTTTGCACTAATAATCAATTAGAATAAAAATACAAATGATTACTTTGAAAAAGTTAACAATAGTGAAACGATATCTTTTATTAGCTCGAATATTTTGTAAACGAAAATAAAACCATTGTGTATTACGTTTTGTATAAAGATCATATCGAAGATATAGTTCATATTCAAATTCACCACTATGAATAAAAAAAAATTAAATTAAATAAATTATTTTTAATTTATCTTACACTTGAACAGCTTTCATTAGATTTCCACTTTCAAAACGAGATTCAAATAATACAGTTGTATCTTCAGAATTTCGAATTGCTACAGCAGCTGGTCTACAACCTTCTCTATTACCACCAATTCGAGATCGAATAAACTATTTATTACAACATACATATATATATATATTTCAAAAGAAAAAGTAATTAAAATCCATCATATAACTTACATAACCACATGTTTCTGGATTGTAATTAAAGACAATGCGACCATTATTCTCATCATAACTACGAACAAATGGCATATGATCAGTAGCTAAAATAAATAAATTGCTGACAAAAAAAAATTCTAAATAAAAAATGCAAAATCACAAACTTGGTTTATAGAAAAGTTCTGGTTGTTTTGGTGATACATTAATATGTTTAACACGTGCTTCAGTTAAAACTTCGATTTCAATGGGCCACCGTGGTTCAAATGAATTTTCATCATTTTGACTTCGTAAAGTTAAATTATATGAAATACGAGTTTGTCGTACAGGCTAAAAGAAAAGAGAATGACACAAGTTAAAACTTAATATTCAAATATCTTTCAAACTTACTAATCGTCGATCTGGAACAAATGGTTTGCCTTTATATTCTAAATAAATCATGTTAACTAATATCAATCAATTCAAAAAAATTAAAATTTCTTTTTTTAATGCGTTCTCTCATCTATATCATGCAATAATAAAAGCTTTTTACTAATTTGAAAATTCATATTAAGCTGATTAATAAAAATTTTATAATTTATCTAATAATATATTGATGTAATATAAACATCAATATATTATAGAAACACAAAAAGAAGAGAAAAAGAAAACATAATTTCTTTGTCTAATATAGACAACATGCAAATTAAAAACCCACCAGAAGTCTCCTGAGGAGATCGACGATCACTATTTACTGGAAGAAAAAAAATATATATATATATATTTCACTCTTGGTGAATGTATTGTGTAAAATGTACTGAATAAATTAATTAAAAATATGAAAACAAAACCTACTTGCTTGTTCTTCATCACCGGAACTCGATTCAGAATCACTTGATGATGATATAAGTTGAGACTTCGACGGAACAAAGCCATATTTTTTCACGATTTCACTTCGACCTTCACAAATAAAACAAGGTCAATGCTTCATCAAATAACACAAACTTTACCGGTAAAATAGCCATAGTGTTGAAGATGTTTTCGCATAAAACTATCGTATGGGCTCTTTAAAAAAACCAAAAAAAGTAATATTAACAATAAAAAATATCAAATTAAATATCATACTGATATAAGAGCATAGTTTGATTCAGCCAACTCCATGATTTTGACGGTTGAAGATCAATGTCTTATTAGTTGATTATTATTCTTACTATCCAAAACAGTAATGTTGAGAGAACAGAAAAGAAGATTGAAGTTCGGTGAAACAAACAGAAAAAGAAAATCTATAGAAACAAATTGGTTGTTTCTAAATAAAAATTTTGATGCACAATTTCTTAACGCGTAATTCAGTAAAGCATCAAGAATGCTTATTTTAAAAAGTGTCCCTTTTCGAACGAAAAAATAACAAATTTTTATTAAGAAGAAAAATTATTTTTTTTCTTAACAGAACAACAAATTTGACTTAAATTTCAATGTTTCTTTTTTTTTCTTTCATGATAATACACTTTCTTTGTTTATTTAATATTTTTTTTTCTTTCATCAACATAAGATCGTTTTTGTTAAATAAAAGTTTCAAACGTAATATACACCATCATTTCATGATAAAGTAAAAACATATTGATCAATGTTGAAAATTAACGGTGAAAACAGTATATCAGCTCATAATGGGCTGAACCCATACTCAAAACGTTGTTTTAACATAGCTTTCAAAATCATTCAGAATAGACTTGATGTAAGTTGAAGTGGCCAGACTCTACTCTGACCCATCTTTTGTCTTGTCACTATTGAAAATCCACAAGAAATAATAAGAACGATTCATGTAGTTTTTATCTCTTATTAAGATATCATAATTTGTTCTGTACATCTTCTTTTCCATAGTAACGAATGACCAATGAATGACAAATAAATGAATTTTAATCAATTCTAATCTTTAATTCAAATAACAATAAACGAAATGAAGAAACGAGAAATAATCTATAATAGAAAAACTCAGAAAAAAAAAACATATTCAAAGAAACTATTAGCGACATCATTATTAAACTTAATACATTGAAAGTAGCGTTTAGTTCTATGTACAAATATTCACAATTTAACGAATTTATTCAATCATAAGATATCGATATATTTTAGTTTTAGTTTATAGACAACTTTTTCTATGACTAAATTAAATAAAGCAAGTGAACAAGTACTCAATGAACTTCTCAATGATGTAAATACATTTTCATAAAACAATCATGAAAGAAAAAGAAAAAAAGTACAATCATTAGTTCTCTTTTTATATATTTGAATAGGATGCTGATCTTGATGAATATGGTGAATGGACAGATGAAGCATTAACTCGTGCTACTTCAAAACAGCCTATTGATGGTGGTGGTGAAGAAGAATATGGTCATGTTAAATTACGTAAACCAATTGATATGCAAACATTATGTTCAAGTAAAGGTCAAATATTAGAACTTGATCAAAATGAATTAGATTCAGCTGAATTAGCACGAATAGCAACACAAATGGCAATGGATAATATTAAAGAAAATCAACAAACTCATACAGATCAATATATTAATAATGAGCTTAAATCAACAATACCATCGAGAGATTTATTTAGTCAACGATTAATTGATAATACACAAGATTTTGATGATCAAGTTCGATTGTTATTTTTGTTTTTCTCTTTGATTTATGAATCATTATCTTATTTTTCATCTAGCTTGGTGGTATGCAACATTTAATTAAAACTAATGGAGATGATGGTATACCATTAAATGGTATACCAAGTAGTGAAGCTGCAGGTGGAATATGGAAACAAATTATTTATAGTGGTGTTGGAGAAACACCACCACTTGGTTCAACTGTACGTATTCATTATAATGCATATTTTGAACTTAATGATGAACCATATGATAGTACAGTAAGTTATTATTATATTGTAATATTAATTTATACATTCATAGATTTAGTATATAAGACGTCGACCATGTGAATTTCAATTAGGAAAATTTAATGTTCTACCAGGTTTAGATCTTGCTGTTCGAACAATGCAAAGACGTGAACGAGCAAAATTTATTATCAGTAGTGATTTACTCTATGGTGAATATGGTCTGTATTCAATTATTATTATTATTATTATTTTTTTTTGATTTATTATAAATTTTTATTTTTCATATATCTAGGTTGTCCACCACGTATTCCACCAAAAGCATGGTCTTTATTTGTTATTGAATTAATATCATGGATTGATTGTACATTAATTGAAAAATTAAATAAATTAAAAACAACTAATGATGATGAAATAACAGAAGATTTTGATGAACGTATACGTATAGCACAAACATTACGTGATATGGGAAATGTAATATAAAAATTTGAAGCAAAAACAAAAAATTTCATTAAAAATTTTTATATTTAGGATGAATATGCTAAACATAATCTTGAACGTGCTATTCGTTATTATGCAAAAGGAAAACAATTTTTACTTAAAACTAAAACAACTAATGAAAATCAAACTATACAACAGAAAGAACTTTTACTTAAACTTTATCTCAATTCAGGTAGAATAAAAAAATTTAACAGACAAGAATTTCTGAGAAGATATTTAAATATTCTAATCATGATTTCCGTTAGAGTATTTTCATTATAAAAGTTGTGTGAAGATTAGAGATGTACAGAATTAAATTTTCTTGGTCTCGGTGATTTTAGTTTTTTTGAATTTCGACCTAGAAAGTTTATTCGTATCATATCTTGATGAAAATAGTTGACTTTGACCTTGACAAGAACCGTGCTTAGAATATTTAAACAAGTTTTTAGAAATTCTTGTCTGTTTAAGAATTCTTTTATTTAAATGATTAATTTTATTTTAAGCTCAATGTTATCTCAAATTACGAAATCATGAACGTACAATTAAAAATTGTAATGAAGCATTACAATTGGATCCTAAAAATATCAAAGCTTTATTTCGAATAAGTATTGCTTATCGTTCATTACATCAATTTGATCAAGCACATACTTATCTTAATACAGCAATCAATATTGAACCATATAATGCTGAAATAATTGATGAAGCACAAAGACTTGATCGAGCTATTGAACAACAAAAGAAAAATGAACAAAAATTATATTATAGAATGTTTAATAAGTAATAACTGTTTTGTCAGATGATTTGTTTGTTTTGTTTTGTTTTGTTTTGTTTTGTTTTTTAAATAAAACTAACATATGAAATAAGAAATTATCGGTTTCTTTTTCTTTTTTAATATCATGAAAATTCATATCTGCCGGCTTTATATTTGATTATGCATATCGTAGGATTATTTTTACGTACATAAATATCAATGATATATTAAAATGTATGAATACAGAGCACGACAGGAAAAAAAATCATATATACAACAATTGGGAGAAAAAAAGAATCTTTATTAATTAATTAATTAGGGAATTGTATTGAAACATGTATGAATCACTGATGAAAAATAGCAGAGAAAAATTTTCAATCGACTAATATTAATTTTTATGAACGTAGTTTAATTACTAATTCAATTATTGAAACACGTTTAGATAGTAGAGAATTAATATCAAATCGATGGATCACATTATAATGTACACAGTGAGTAGTCAACCACAAAAATCAAAGATTCTAAGAAAATTTTCTTTTCTATCAACCTTTGTGAAACTATCTGTACCGATCATTTTGGTAAAAGAACTATTCAAAGTCGATGAATAAATGACATTACCGGAGTGACTACAGTTTTTCTTATCAAAATGATCGATACAGATTACATCATGGAATCTGATAGGGAAAAAATTTTTCTACGAACCTTTGGTTTTTATGGTTAAATATTCATAGAAGTATTCAATTATACTGCGAAAATTTTGAAAATTTCCGTGATTCTATTGCATATTATCATTTATACTTGCAAATCCTGTTTTCAATGAGCTTTCATTTGATATAAAATTCTCGCATGTTTTAAACCATAAACATAATATCCTCTTAGATATGTTTATATTCAATCAAATAAAAAGAAATATAAAGAATATACTTCATTACCTATTTTATTTAAAAATATTCCTATGAACTAAAATTCACTACTACTCACATCAATGATTTCAGCGACCAGAAAATGGTCAGAACTTGAAAGCAAAAATTCGGTAATCAGATTCAATAGTCGACTCTGTCCAATCAATTCCGACTGAAACTAGAAAAATTGAACTACCGAACTCTTACTTTCGAATTCTTACCATTTTTCAGCCAGTGCCTGCTGGACTTCATTCACTTGACTATGGCAGACAAATATCCAATATTCTATTGTCTCCATGATTATTTCTTGATGAAAATGAATTATTATGATTGAATCATAACATTTAAATAAACTTCCAACAAAATCTATTATCTATCGACACTGAAACAAAACAAAAATGTAAACATTAGATTAAATATAGAAAAAAAAAAGGAAACACATACAATCATTCAAAAGAATATCATCATAGATTGAATAAACTAATACGATATGAACATCGATTTTTTTTGTTTTGTTAGTTTAAATAAAAATCATATCAACTATCCGGATGTCAAATAAGATAATTTGATTTGTACTTAAGAACATAAAACAACTTAATTGTTATCTCTATATTTAGTTTGCGGTAAAATATGTTTTTTTCTTTAGATAGATATAATCATATATTAAGAGTTTAAAAATGTAAATAGAAACGTGTACATGTCCTTGAATATCAAGGTTTCTTATCGAACATAATTATCAACTGAAGTGTATTATTTCAAAATGTGTGAGATATCACTTTTTTTTTTTTCATCCGATAAACTGTTTATTATTGATATAGATTGTGATATAATAATGAAACAAATTTTTATTTTTTTTGTACAATTCACAGTCAATTTGACTGTTATATTTATTGGACAATCGATCAATTTTAAACATAAATAATACTTTTCTTTATTCAATGATAATAACAAAAACTCTTTGTAGTTTATAATCATAAATAATAATGTGTCGAATCACACACACACACACCTATGTTTTGATTCTTTTTTAATTTGTCATAAAAATTATATTTATGATTTAAATAGAAGTAAAAAAAGAAATTGAACATACTTCATCTATTAATCTTATTGTTTGCATACGTACTCACAAATATCGATATTCTAATTTTTTTTTTCTTCTCTTCTTTTTCCACTCTCTGATATAAAGAGCATGTATTTGCATTGTACCATCGTTACTGTTGTTCTATCTCTCTCTCTTTCTCTTTCTCTAGAGAGAATATTATAATACATTTTTTCTGATCATCATTAGTATTAAAGTAAGTTTAAAAAGAAAAAAAAAAATTTATTATCATTGACCTCTCTCCCCATTTTTTATTTTATTTTATGCCTTTAAAAAACAAAAGATGATCTTTAAAGACATTGAGACTATAGTTTACCTTGATATGTCGTATGTATTCATTTATATATCATTATCTTCGTTTCACAACATTTCGTTCTATGATCATGTCACTGATGTGCAACTCGAGCTTTTTCAAGGTGATTCTTTTTTGATATAGATATATACATATATTCATATTGTATAATAATGTTCTTCTTTCTTTCTTTCTTTCTTTCTTGAGACTTTGCATTAACATATGAGAGATTTTCATTCACCTTCAAGTTCAATTTATGTATTTTATGTATATATACATGTTGTATTTGTATATATGAACCTGTCATATAAGTAAGTGAAGATGAGCCCTTGGTTTGGTCAGAATAGAAAACGATGAGTCTCACACTCAAATGACGAAAAAAGAGAATGAGTGATTTAACATGAAATTGACATTCATTTTTTTCAAGGTTTAGTTCAGTCTAAGCTTTACATATGTGTGTATGTATATGAATAAAATGAATTAAAATAGAGAACAGTGTAAGCATATATTTCATCATGATGCCATCATAGTCAGAAAAAAAGAATTGATTCATTTAATAAGAAGTAAGTAGCACAAAAAAAAAAAAAGAAATCTTCATTGAACTTGAGTTTTTCTATTGAAAATGAAGAGATAATTGAAAAAGTAAATCTCTTACTTTTTTTTTCTTATTCTCTTTATTTGTTTTGTTTGTTAAATATACTTCTTGAGTCTGTTTAATCAAATATTAATTACACTTACTCCACATTCATCTATACATATACAGAGAGATCATATGAATTTAACAATTCGATACCAGACATTCATATCATTTCAAACAATCAATTCTCTCTTTTTTTTGTTTGATTGTTGTTATTTCTTTCAATTACTTTCAACCCACAAAAAAAACAAGAATACTTGACCGCATATGTCTCTATTCATAGATAGATTACATCAGTCGGTTCTAATTTGATTAGAATAGACGATAATATGACGGTATTCTTTGGTTTTATGTTGAGACGATAAAAGATATATAAAAAAAAATGAAAGTAACAGAGACCAAGGATGACTTTCCAGCCCCGTTTAAGGATTAGCCTTTTTCAATCCTTGATTGTCTCTCTATATATATTGACATCGTATGTATATAATAGTTTATAATGAACTCTGCCACTCTCTGTAAATAAGAGAATAAATTGTTTTTATTTTTTCCCTTCTGCTCAATACAAACTCACACCTAATATTAGTATATAAATAAGGGTCATTAGTCGTACTTAGAAACTCATTTCGAACAAAAGAATGTACATATATATATATATAGTTATAGACAAAAAGAATATTTTGTTTAGTTGATAACTAAAGAATGATCAATGGTCTATCATTTCACAAGGTTATTTATGTTTTTAGTAAGATATTGAGACACAATTGAAAAAGAGAAAGAGAGCAATATGAATATCATCGTACGAGACAATGATGTTTAAAGGACAAATCAATAGATGAAAAAAAAATGTTTGTTCTCCTCACAATGGATAAAATTCTTACAGGACAAGAGAGAGAGATTTAACATTGACCACTCATCATCATAAAGTTTTTTTTTTCTTCTTCTATCACACTATATTGATGATATGCATATGACAAACCAACACATTGATGTGAGATGTCCTGATGAGCAACTTTAGTAAGTTAATTGATTTTTGTCTTGTATCCCAATCGAGTGATATCTTAGATCAAAAGAAGAATAGTGTACAATAGTATTATTATTATTATTATTATTATTATTATTATTATTATCGGTCTTGTGTAATCAAAATAGCAGTTGTATGACTACAACAGGTGATATGAAGAATAATGAGAATTTTTTTTTTCTTGTCTCTCTTTCTCATTGATATAGTCTACGATGACATGCATTCTGACATCTTATCAGTACGTGTTTTCATTCAATATTTATTATTATCATTATTTTATTGAATAGTTTTTCTTTTATACATTGACGTGTAAGTATGAGATATATAAGCATGTGTTATAAGAAAATTTAGGCATGTTGTTATTCGTCTGATAACTTATCATTTATTTTGAGGGAGAGAACATGAAGATGATGATGTTGTAGTCTGGTCATGTTCACATATATGTTTTTTTTTGTCCTTCGTAAAATAAACAGATATGTTTTAAATGATAATAAGTATTTAGTATATTTATAATTATTCGTTCAATAAAAAATTTTCTATATTCGATTGTTTTAAATAACATATGTGCTATCGTTTGATTTTTATTACCTATTGATATTTTTATTTTTCTTACATCAGTGAATATCTAGATTAGATATATATATATATATATATATATACAGGAAGCCTAGTTTGATTGTATAGTAGAACAAATTACAAGAAGCCCCTTCGTCTGTACTGACCTGTTCTCTTTCATATATACATATACTCAACCTATTCAATCATTGTTGTCAGTATCCTTTAATGGATTGTTTAAATTCATTATTTTATTTTTACTTATGTAATATATATATATGTATACATTCGTTCCGGGCTATATTTCATACGTATATATGTATAGACTCTGTTGTTTAATGAGTACCACTATGTATTGTATTATTCTATATAGTATTTGCGTACTCGCACACGACACCATTGTATTCATGAAAAAGAGAGAGAGAGAGAGAGAGAGAGAGAGAGAGGAAAGAATAATACACCTTATATATTTCGTTCCGGTTATACAATATCGACTACTGTTGTCGATTCGTAATAGTAAGTTGAAGATATCAATCAACAATAACAAATGCTAGTAGTAGTTCTACTTGTCGTTCGATTTCAATAGGTAATCAGAGTAAATACGGTTGATTGAATGTGTCAGTAAGAATGATTATTACGTATATATCTAAAATGTGTGTTTATTCATGCATATTGTTCAAAAATCATTGAATGTGTAAGATACGATAATCGAGAACCTTCAATTTTTCTTCGATTGCAAGATAAAATATACATCAAGTTCTTTTTTTTTTCTGTTGTTCTTGAAAACTTTTTACTTCCGCTTGATGTAATAGTTTATATCGTAACTGACCATTTACTTTGTTCATTTTCATTCTCTTTCTTGACTTCATTCAATACGAAAAAATGGCCTTCTTTGAACAAACATTGTCAAGAAGAAGAAAAACGACTTCAAAAGAATGAGTTGCATAAGTTATATCTCTTTTACTCAACCATTATAATCTTTTCATAAAATGTACATGACAAACATGTACATACATATCGGTCATTGAAAAAGTCATATCGTTCAATTTTCTATAATGATCTATATGTGTTGATTGATTGTTTTCTACTATATGTTATCAAAATATGTGTACAAACCAACATACATCCACATTGATCGACGATAATGAATATTTAATAAACTAGTATCGTGAAATTAAATTTTACATATCGTTTTATTTTGATCTTTTCTTGTTTGTTGTGTAAGGAATATATAAATATGGGTCTGATATCAATTTTCTCGATTGATACGTATTAACAAGTAGGTGTGAGATTCCGTTTACCCTTTTTTCTTTTTCTTTTTTTTTTTTTGTGTTCATTTTTGAAGAGCACGGCACGTCGAGAATAGTAACAATAAAAGTATTATTCAAAGACGTGACTTATTCAAAATGAAATATTGATGAAGACACCATTGCATAAAATAAAATAAAAAAACGAATGATCAAATTTCGATTCAACTTTAGACAATTCTATTGTCTTAATATATTATCTATTAAACTATTGATTTATTCTTTTCTTTTTGTAGATGTTAGGAAAATATTCATTTTTTGTATGAGCCATCATAAAATTTCAATGTTTCAAAGAATATTTTACCTTATATCAATCTTCTTTCTTATTATTAATAATGTTCAAACAACATCAAGTAAATATTCAATCAAAATTTTATTATTATTGTTATTTTGTTTTTCAATATAAATTATTTTGTTTTAGTAACAAAACGAAATCATGAAGCTTTTCATGTACTTAAACAGGCTAAAGAAAAAATAAAACATGGAATACGTATGTATTATGTTTAAAAAACCCCAAAACAATAATTAAATATTAATTATTTATATTTTTTGATTTAGAATGTCTTCCACCATCGAAATATTTTGCTGGTTCATGTTATACATATATGAAAACCTTACCAGCTTCATCATGGGAACGTGCTTATAATAATTGTTTATCATTACCAATGATAAAAGATGCTAGTTTATTAGCTATTGAATCAATTAATGAATATGAATTTATTGAACGTGAACTTATTGGATTAAAATCAGGATCTGAAAGTGTTTCAGTATATATTGGATTACGTAAAATAAATAGTATAAATTTTTTTTTTAAATTTATTAGAAAATATATAAATTTCTTAATTTTTTTTTTTTTGTTAGATACTTGGTTATGGTCTAATGGTATACCATTGAAAGAAACACCTGTTTATCGATTTTGGGTTGATAATAATCGAGATATTCTTGCATATGATTGTGGTATACTTTGGCTTGCTAGAAATACAAGTGTTATTACACCAGCACCATGTGTTGAACAAGCTTTACGACCATATGTTTGTAAACAAAGTAAATTCAAAAAATATGATTAAAAATTTTCAAAGAAAATATTCTTTTTGTTTTTTGTATTATTGTTATTATAGTAATTGATCGATGTTATAATCATAGTAGTAATTGTGGTAAATATGGAAAATGTATTAATTTACCACTGATAAATTCACATAAATGTCAATGTCGATTTTTTTATACAGGAGATCAATGTGAAAAATGTAAATTTGCAAGAATTTTCATTATTATTATTATTATTATCATATTAAATAAAAATTAATTATTTTAGGGAGTAGTCAAGGTTTACAAGTCATCATTGGTGGTGTAATTATTGTGATCGCATTTATTGTTTTATATATTATCAATTTTGATCGATCAGAAGATTCTTGGTCATTTAGAAAATCTACCTACGAACAATATCAAATGTAAGTTTACCTTGAAAAAGTTGTTTTTAGATACAAGAATTATAATTAGGGCAATCCGAAAGTAGTAGTGGCGTCTAGAGATCTGCGGGATCGGAATTGAAAAACACTTGGTTCCGCACATTTCTAGTGGTGACACTTTACTATCAGATAGGAAGTTTGAGAAAATTTTCTCTCTGTATGCACTAATAATATAAACAATGTTCTATAGTTTGGTAACGTTTTATTGTTCTTCAACGGTTCCCCTCCCGTCACAGAATAATAGTCCGTTGGTCTTCTAATTTGCTTCGAAATTCAAGAGTTTGGAGATGGACTTTTATGACGATCAACATTCTTGGGTTGTAGCGAAGTTTTCAAACTGTCTGAGAACTTTGATACGAACTATGATAATTACCGATGAACCAGAAATTGACATGTATACTATTCCAGTTCCATGTTATCAGATAACCTGAATGATACGTTCATTACACTGTTCCTCTCATTCATACATCTGCCATCTGTACTTTATGTATCTTAATATAGATACGTTAAACCACGCTTATTACGATACTTTACTTTGAGAAACAATCAAGTTTTGGAGAGGTTGAGAAAAAAAACTTCTTTAGTGCATGAACCGATACAGCTCTACCGGACAATGTCATTTTAGAATCTTATATACAGTTCAGAAACATAAGGAGATATATTTCAATTATTTTAAAAGACGTATAAAGTAAACCGTTTATTATCAAATGAGGGCTTTGCATTTTTTTTGAAATAGGTAGTTCAGTAACAGGTGTTTTACTCATCTCATACTGAATTTTTTTCATTTGCCACAAGAAAGTATTCAAATTACATAAGAATAAAAGAATTTCGAAAAAAAAAATAATAATTCGATTCACGAATAAAGACCACAATATCTATACAAATAATAATTAACAGTAAGAGTTTAAAATAATCCTACAATATGCTAATATTTTATGCAAGTTCATATGATACTCTACTTATCCATTCTACAATCAGCACAGAGAACAAAAAGAAAAATAACGGTCGATGAAAATTATAGAAACATCTTTTGACTAGTAAAAAAATTCAAGCTTTTTATAAGGTATTAAAGTGCCGTTAAGAATGTGTAGTTCCCGATTACTGACTACTAACATCACCGACTCACTGTAGTTAGCACATATTGGCATCAGTGTTCACTGAGACATTGGAACACATCGTTACAAAAAAAGACATATTTTGATAGGGTTGTTATCTTAATGTTGCAACAAACACAGATGTCAGTACTTCAGTGAATCAGAGATGTCCATCGCAGTTAGAAATCTGCCGCAGTCCTAGAAGAGGCAAAGCTCAGGGCCGCTACCACGACACAGTGAACTATATAAAATGTTGTTGCTGTCGCGATGGTATTCTTGAAATATCCCTCGCTCCGCTGACGCCATCGCGGCGGCGGCGGCAGTATCATCATGGATACATGTGCAGTGAACACCAGCGTTAGTGAGTTTCTCGAAGTGGAAGGGACTAAAAATTTCACACATTGACGGAGGCAGTGTAATCAGGGCCCGAATAGATCCTATGTTGGTGACTCAATGATCAGTATTTAAATTCTAAGTGTCATTACCAGTACTTTTGAATTGTTCTAAATAAATACATTTTAGTGTTTCGATGTGTGCTCGAAATCAATCTAATTTCACAAGACAATCGTCGAAAAATGTCGATCATGTAATTTCCAATTCACATTTAATTAATAGTTCTACACCAAAGGAAAAACATCATCGGTATACTTCTTCATCAATACAATTAGATGAATGTAAACTACAATATTCATTTTTTCTTAATATTCGTAATCTTTTTTTTAAACAAAAAAGATTTATTCTTATTATTTTATCTATAATATTAACAATTGTTATTTGTATGATTATAATTAATGCACAAAATTATATTAAAAAAATTCTCAGTTATTCAACACGATTATTTCAATTTTGTATATTATATGAAAATAATTATTATCATAATTTATTAACATTACCTATTGCTTTAGTTATTATTTTATTAATAATAATTAATCAAACACGAAAAGAATATTATCAATTAAATAAAGAAAAATTTTCAATTTATATTCCAATACCATTTAATCCATTTTCAAAAATAAATCGTTTTGATACAATGATTTTATGTGGTATTGTTAGTCATGAAATACTTGAAATTATTGAAGAAATTTTTTTTAAAACAACACAAATTAAATTACTTACAATAACTGGTCCATTATTTGATCTTATTCGACAAATTGGTCTTATTATTATTATTGGTCTACGTTATTATCCTATTTATTCTATTATTGAAATATCTCATGATAATATTCTTTATTATATTTTATGTTCATTTTATATGTGGTTAGATTTAATTTTAAGAATATTTGAACAAGTATTTTGTATAAATATTAATTCATTGATTCGAACATGGAAAAAATTTGAACAATTTAAAAATGAATTAAATACAAAATATGAATCAAATTCATTGACTATGACGACATCAACAATGTTTATGCCAGAATATGAAGATATTCATTCAGAAGTATTTAGAGGTGGTTTTCATCATAGAATTAGAGATCGATTATCATTTCGAGGAACAAAATCGATAATAACTACAACTATCGCTTCAACAATTCAAGTAAGAGAATTTATTTTACAAAGAAGTCAAAGACTTTTGTTCCATCACGAGAAAGCTATCCAACATATAACCCACTGTTTGAGTTCATATTAGATTCACAAGAAGGTCTGGGTAATACTAAAAAAAGGCCTAAAAAGGTTCGTCCCCATGAGCTTTTGGAGGCCAACTATGGTTGTTTTAATGGGTTTTCAGCCTGATAACTTGTTCATGCATAGATCTAATGATCCTTAATATATCCTGAAAATTTTAGCCAAAACGAATGTTTTGTTGTCGAGATATTGAATTTTATTTGCTACAGACATATCACAAAAATCGAGTTTACTTGAAAATTCAATATCTTGACAAAGGAACATTCTTTTCAGCTAAAACTTTAAGGATATGAAAGATCATTTAGCCTATCTATGGGCAAAACCTTAGAACAGTATACCATTTTTTGATTTTCTAGTAAATATCAAAAATGGATTAAAAATTTAGTGCAACGGTCATAATTCGATTCCAAAGGCTTAGATGAACGGACTCTTTTACGCTTTCCTTAATCTTACCGAGAGCTTCTTTGTGAGCCTAATATAAGCTCAAACGGCGAGTTACGGTTGGAATAATTCTCTTATCAGCCTTATACAAGTTTCACTGAGGCTCAAAAATCAGTTCCATTGGCGTGAGTTACTTATGAACCTTCCTTCGTGAATTGTAATGTTTTATACAAGAGAAGTTCAACTTTTCGGATAGTGAACAATCCGTATCGAATAATTTTATATTTCGACTTAATGCTTATTTATTAGTTTTATCATCAGAATATCACAATAAAAATAATCATAAATTCTCGTAAACTTAGCTTAATTTTTGTGAATGAGTTTATCTTTCTTTAAAAACGAAAACAAAAACAATAGTCATACAAACTAAGAAGATAATCGATATTTTCTTTTAGCCATCTTCAATATCACTTCATTCATTAAATTGGTCATCAATAGATTTAAATATTTCCATGCTTATTCATCATAATAATTCTCAATCTACATTCGATCAATTTGGTATTGATCATTCAATAATTTGTGTACTTAAATATGCACCTTATTATTTATGTTTAACATATATTTGTTTTCGATTAACATATCTTCTTATAATTAATATTTATCATTTATTTCTCTCATGTGATAATAAAACAAATTTAATAAAAAAATCATTAAAACATATTTATCATAAACCAATAAATTCTTCAAGAGAAATTCTTTCAAATGAATATTATTATGTTCGTCATTTATTTAAAAAATCATTTAAAATATTAATAAAAAATCCAAAGAAATATTCTTTATTTAAAATTTTACTTTATAAAATTTATCGACCAAATAAATATTTTTATTATTCAAAACAAATATTAAATATATATATGATTGCATTTATGTTAATATATTATTTAACATTTAATATTTTACAAAATGGTTTTAATCTTATTGAAAAATTTTATAGTTTTACATTAATACCATTATTAATTCTTTATGATGAATTTGATTTACCTGAACCAAAATTATTTAATCTTAAATATGAAATGATTTTTGCATGTTTATTAACAGCAATTATTTATTTTATACAATTATTATTTGGAATGAAAAATTATCAAAAACATATGCTTGATGCTTATAAAGGTATATTTATTGATATTCCACCACGATCAGCATTTAAAAATATTCGATTTATGTCAAAAAATATTCATTATCCAGGATATTGTATTGCTTATCTTATTATTGGATATATTATTATAGGCAATATATTGTTTTTTATTTTTATTACTCTACATGTTTTATTTAAACATTTATTTCTTATTGAAGAATTTGCAAAAATATTTATACCTATACTTGTGATTTATTTAATAACATTTATTATACAATGGTTTTTATCAAGAACATTCTTTTTACAAAAGTAAGTGTATTAATAATTTTATATAGATTTTCGATAGTTGAAAAATCTTTATTGTTGATAAAAATTTTTCATAAACACTTCAGAGAGTTCATTTAGTTTTTAGACTAAAATAAAATATATGTCATTGTCTGTCTACGAAGCATTTATTCATTATTATGTTTTATAAGTGCAACTATATATAACTGACTTCGTTGATACATTTTCGAAGTTATTTCTCAATTAGTCATTGTTCGAGAGTCTGTTGAGAAATGGATCAATGATCGAGGATGAATGTTAGTCATCGACTAAATAAATCAAAAAATCAGTATTGAAGAACTTTTTGAGATGTGATATGAATAAATTCTGGAATAGTTTTCTCTAAATTGGAACCAAGAAAACTTGATCCCATACATTTCTAGTTATGGTAAACTTGTAATGTAACTATAAGACGAGTATTTTTAATTATGTGAAATTCACATGACTTTTTATGAATACTTAATTGTAAATTCGGACTTTTTTCTACTTCTCTTATCATCTCGTCTAACAGACACTCATCCTTAAAGGTACTTCATTGGTTGTTTCACAGAATTCGTATTCAGAACAGATGTCGATGGCGACGGCGTCAGCGGTGCAGCAGTAGCAACTTTTTATATAGTTCACTGCGTCGCGGTAGCCTTGTCTCTTCTAAAACTGCGGCAGATTTCTAGCCGCAAATAGTGGATGATTCGAGTAGAGTACAGTCAATAGTAAGGATGCATTGGAAGTAATCCAAAGAATTTGGTCTATTGACATTGTCAAATGATCTCCTATTAAGAATAATGAGTTTGTGACATCATCTTTTAGTTTGTTGGAAATATGATTCGATTTGTTATTCATTGAATTAGTATATAGTCTCATTTTACTTCCATTTTGTTCATCAAGTAAAGAAATCTAATGACATGAGTCGTTGTGCTGTTGCACACTCCTAGTATGGTTAGTCGCTTTGTAACAGAATACATCAATCTCATTTACAGAATTTCAACATTCATTGTCACGACCATGACTGTGACCAGAAAAATAGTGGTCTTATATCGCAATTGAATATGTTGAATATTGTCTCACAAAGTGTGACACATTTTATATCAATATATTTTCAAATACTCAGATTCTGCATCTTTGAACAGCTTGGGGAAGATGACTTATGTTTATGATACACGATCTAAAAGGAGTAGAAATTCGGACTCCCATCTTCCACCACAGACCGTGACAGGCATGACTATGAAACTGAAGTCTATTACAGAATTATAATAAAAGATAATTGAATTGAAGATAACAGCTATCGTCTTTCTTTCCAAATTTATTGTAACATATTATGATTAACATCTTTCATCATAAACATACATTAAGAGTAGACTGGAAGTCATAAATCGAAACATATTGTTACATCTTCAGATTTACATTATATACAGGTCCATCATATTTCATATTTTAATTCCGCAATGATTGTACTAACAGCTTTTTATGAAGACTTTATTTGAATCAAGCTACAATAAATAATTACTCTAATCAACATAGAAAATAAGATAATGTATTAAGACATTACAGATTTTGCTGATGTCTATTTTTATTCTTTTAACTTTTGCAAATACTATTTAAATTATTTTAGACATGGAAAAACGATGATATTAAAAAATCTTCGAATTTATTATCTATTTACTTATTTCAATTTTTTCTTTGATTGTTTTCTTGGTATAATATCTTGTATATTTCGTCTATCAAAAGCATGGATAACTAATTTTGGTTTTTTACCACGTTTGGATTATTGTATACTTGGACGATCATTAGAAAAAATGGATTCAGGTTTTATATCATACGCATCATTTATACATATGGAATGTCTTCATACACATCCTGTACTTGTTTATTTTTGTTCAATTGTTAATGAACATATTAATAAACGTTATCAATATTTACGAACATCAAAACAAGATATTTATTTATATACAAAACAACAACAGATTATATTTCGTTGGTGGTTAGCAATAACATTAAATCGAAATAGACAATTAATACAATTAAGAAAATCTCAATTAATGTATTTACAAATATCAAGAATAGAAAGTTTTAATGAATTATTTGAAAAGAAATTATTGAAAAATTTTCAACAATCTAAAATAATAACAAAAAATCATGAAAGAATTAATTCAAATACAATTATTCGTAATCATACAACAACTTGTACAACTTTATTACTTGATGTTGATGAACAAGATAATCGAAAATCATCATTTTAAATTATTCTATTATGTATTGTTGTTTTGTCTTTCAGTCATATATTAATGTTTGTTCAATGAGAACAGTTCCATCACAACATTTATATCTGTTTTGTTTTGGTTTTTTTTTTCTTACTCCAGTTACTTGTAAAAAAAATAGTATTATAACAGCATTGTATTTCTAGCTTGTTTTCTTTGCGTTCATTTTGAATATGTATGTGTATGTATCATATATCTTTGTAGTCTATTTTTTGATAAAGAACAGATCTTAAATGATTTGGTTGTGCTTATAGTACGCCAAATGTGATTTATAATGATGACACAAATAATTGAATTATTGATTATTATTCATAACAAAATGAAACAGACTTTGTTTTAATCAATAATCTTTTTTTAAATAAAAGATCATGATTTAAATGTATTTGGTAAAATATCTCTTAAATAAATACTGTCGAGACTTTTGAAAAGTATTTACTATTCAGAGATGTTTATCTGTGAAAGATGTTGAAATGAAAAAAAAAACTTTCCAAATATAAGCTTCTTTATTAGTTTTGAAGTTATTAGAAACTATTATTTGTGTTGTTCATCTTCCTGTATTTCAATATTTATGAACCTGCAAAATTTTCAACAGAATATAAAACAAAGTTTTATATCGCTAAGTTCTGCATTATTGTTTTGGTCTCAATATATGTAAATTTGATGAATTATTGCTGTACAATTCATCCAAATATATATTCATCGAATCATATTATGCTAAAAATTTTTCAATTTTTGTTTGATAAGCATTTAAATATTAGTTTGCTCGTTTTAAAATATTAGATACAGAACCGAGTGAAATATTCGATTTTTCAGCTAATACACATTGTGATGAAACATTGTTATCATTAATGAATTGAATTTTTTCATTTAATGTAAGATCATGTTTTGATACCATTACTTTTTCTGATATGTACAGTTATAACAAACAATGAACAGCAGTTTCAGTGTATTAGTCAAAAATGATGAAGAACAGAGAGTGAAAAATAAAGTGTCGATATATTCATTTAAAAGAGGTTAAAATAGTAATCATGGCTGTAAAAAAAATGTTCAAGGTCAGATTGGTTGGCCTGGTTGGTAGTTTTGGAAATTGATGCATTGTCTTCTTATTTGAGAGTACTTCGACGAATTTATTCCATCCCAACAACAAATGATTGAACCGAACGTCAATCTAATGTTGTAGGGCTTATTTTGATTAGCAAAAAAACTTGTTTAGATCCAAAACAATTGAATAGTAAATTTTGTGTTCGTCTTGTTGCAAAAGTTAAATTGTTAAATGTCTCTGTGAACGTAAAAAGAAATACTTTTTGCATCCTATGGTAGAATTAATTGATTTTTCATCTAAAAGAAAACAAATCTTGGCAACACTAACAACTATCTACTTATACTTTTATCGGCTTCATATGATATTAAAATAAAAATTTGCCATGCGTTTTCAAACAAAAATTTGCACTATTCTGTTTCTATTTACAATATCATTTACCAAGCTTCAATCCTGTTGAAAACGAACATCAGAAAATATTCTTTCAAACACGAGAATAAAATTTCATGATCCAATCGATAGCATCAATTTTCTAATCTTTTAATATGAGGTTCCATTATTCTTACAGAAAGCTACCTCAAAAGGAAAGTTTTTGTGGAGTTTGTTTGTTTTTTTTAAACTTCGAGATCATTAAAACGAAAACACCAACAAAAGTCAGCCACCACTCTCTTTGCTTATTTCTGAGACAGATGCCCTAGTCTGTTCTTCCTAGAGAAATCTCCGGTGAATCATCTAAAAAACATAAAATCCCCAATGGATCACTGGAAAATCCATCAAAAATCCACGGAAAGTCTCTAAAAACAAGGGATTTTCTGGGAATATTTCAAAGAGCCTCCACATTTGACGAAGCGGGGAGAAAAAAGCGTACTCCCAGAGAAGTCACTTTCTAGGAACTCCCTAAGGAGTATTTTTTCGTTAATTTCGAGTCTATAACAATTCTCAGTGATATTATCACCGAGCTTTAGCCCACGAAAGACAAATATGTTGTAACATAGATAGAAAGGTAGGTGGATACGTAGATAGATAGATAGATAGTTAGATAGGTAGGTAGATAGTTAGACAGATAGATAGGTAGGCATGTCACTCAGTGATAATATCATTGATAAACATCATGTACTGACTTGTATATCCCTTAGGAAATTGTCCTTTATCAGGGACTACAGAGTTACTTATAGAACCACTCTCTGAACAATCCCTAGGAACTCACGATGAACTCCTTTAGAAATTTCCAGGAACTCCCTGTCGTGAGTTCTCGAGAATTTTCGTAGGAAACTCACTGGGGATTCGTTAGGGGATTTTTGACTAGGATGATGATAGATAATGAATCAGAAAGAGAAACAAGCGACCAATCGATAGTACTTTTAAAAATCATGTTTATATCCATTAATAGAGTTCTCTCAGTAATGAATATCACAATGGCTACTTCAGTTTCTTTCTGACTTCGATCATCTGATTGGTCTAAATGTAAATTTTTCAATATACAACATTAAAAAAGTAACCCTCACTCCAGTATAATGTGATTGTCTTTTGGAGAAAAAACATTTCGCATTCAATCCTTCAAATGATTATTCGTTTTTTTAGAAAACATCGATTTATTTGTCAATCACCATCGGAAAGTTCCCAATCAAATAAAACTCGAATGTCATCTGATTTTTATTTAGTTGTTCATACAAGAACTTGTTAATATCTTTTTTTTTTATAGAAATAAATTAAATGAACAACGGAAACTAGAATGACAGACTAATCCAGAGTTATAGAATTAAATGTATTTGAAAACTCAAAAAAAAAAAAATCAATCAACCACATAAATAAGTTGAATATAACGCTTGCTAGTAATTTTTATTTGTTAAAAAAAATATGTCATTTTATAAGAAAAAAAAAGGAATTGTTCTGTTTGAATAAGAAAAACTACTTGTCTTGTCGTGTTGCACAGAGAACAATTTCTCGAATACAAACACGTTGTGGTTGTTGATATGCAAATAAAATTGAATTAGCTACATCTTCACTTTGTAAAGGTTGACCCATTGTTGTTTTCCATTCTTGATAATCATTAACAATTTTTTTTGATGTTGTATGTGATAATAGTTCAGTTTCAACAGCACCTGGTGCAATTGTAATAAAACGAACATCATATGATGATGCTTCTTCTCGAATTTGTTCTGTAAAAGCATGAACAGCAAATTTCGTACCACAATAAACAGCATGATTAGGATATGTTTTACGTCCAGCTACAGAACTAATATCAATTATTGTTCCATGACGACGTTCTTTCATTCCTGGTAAAACAACATGTATACCATTGAGAACACCCATAATATTAACTTGTACCATTTGTTCCCATTCTTTTGGATCTTGTGTATCAGCTACACCTAATAACATAACACCAGCATTATTGACAAGACAATCAACTGGACCAAATTTTTTTTCTGCTTTTGCTACAGCTGATTTAATTTCATCTAGATTAGTAACATCGACTTTTTCGCAAATTGTATTTGGTAATTTTAATGCTTCTAAACGATCAAGACGTCGAGCTAATAATAATAAAGGATGACCAGCTTGAGAAAAAGCTTTTGCTGCTGCTTCGCCTATTCCTGAACTTGCACCAGTAATAACAATTAATCCTTTCTTTGACATATTTATTTTTAATCTAAAAAATATAAAAATTTGCATAGAATTTTCTTGATTTCTTCATCACCCTTTTACTGTTTTTTTTTGCCTCATCATCATGAAAAAGAATGATGAATGCATACAAAGTCATGTAAATGCTATCAAATAAATACTAACAGAAAGTAAAAAATTAATTCAATGTAAAGGAAGAGAGGAAAGAAAACATAAATGTCACCTCTATAAATAGAATGATGACGACATCTGTACTTCCTTCGAGATAAATGTTTTGTCAGTATGAAAATAAAAAATGTATATGGGGCAGTCCGATAACTAATTAATGAATTTCGTGTTGGAACTATGTGCATTATGTAGATCTTAATAAACTATGAATATATTTAAAAGAGTTTTACTTCTTAAGTTATTGGCATGGATACACTGCATTTTTTTAAAACAATGCTGTGATTTTTCTCAGAAGGAACAGCCAGAAAATTAATTTTCGACCAAAGCTTTGTATAGAGTCAGGCATTATCGAGAATAGTTTATTGTGAAAGCTTCAAGTTGTTTGATTTGCTTCTACTCTGAAATGACAACATCGAATCGACCGATGTATATGAGCTGTATAAAAGACACACTGTTAGTATAGCCATATCTTAGGATAGAAACAAGAAAAAAATCTAAAATATTCACCATAGACTATTTTCGATAATGCCGATCTCTCTATGAAAAGTTTTAAGTCGAAAATCAGTTTTTCTGGTATTTCTCTTGAGGATGACTACGACTTTGATTAAAATAATACCCTAAAAATGCAGTATCACTGCACAAGTAACTTAAGGGCCAGAACTCTTTTCATTAGAGTCTACATGATACATATAAAACCTCGATTTAAAAAAGCGATTAATCAATTGGACAGCTTACCTTCCAAGAAAAAAAAGTCTGCTATAGTCAATAATACACTCCATTAGACTATCTGATGTTTTTATATCTGTATAAGAGTCAAGATAAGACAAAATAATAATAATAATAATAATAGAAATTCAACATTTATGAATGTACTCTCAATTATTTTATATAGCTTGCTATAAACATGACACTATTATCTCATCTTACCTGTATACTATTGATTTGAGATAAGATGCTTGAAAAATAAAATTCAAACATATCAATAGAATGATTTCAGATAAGTATTATTTTCATCCGCCATATACTCAGAATTAACATTATAAAATATTCTAGATCAATATATAATGATATTAATAGTTCTGGTAAGCAATAGATACTATATAAAATATCAGTGATCATTTATCCTCAGCTATTATAAAACATTGTTTACACACTAAGAAAAATTCTAAATATAACCATTACATAATATTTTCTCATTGAATAAGTCTATTGAAGAAAATTTGGAGGTTATTTTATTTGTTTTTTTTTTGTATAATAAATATTTTATACTTGACTAGAGTTCCAATCCTATTAATAAGAATAATAGTAAAATCAAAACTTACAATTACTAGATGTTACTATTAATAAGATATAAATCCAATCATTAACAATAAAATTGACTTCAAAAATGATCAGCAATGTTAAGATTGTCATGTTTCTTCGACTTGTCTTGTTTATGTAGTGAGATAGTTTAGAATTTTTAACTAAGTCGTCTATTTTGCTTAATTAATCATCGAATCTAAACTTGCTTATAAATGATTATATATTAAATTTTAAACACATATATTGAAAAATCAACTTTATGACTAATGTTGTTTCAATAAATATATGAGTAACTTATAATTACATCTATTGTATCGTTATATTTCAATATTTATATTGAGAATAACTCTGATTCCTATGAATGGATCTAGACAAAATTCTTTTCTCATCATACCCTTATCACTTTCCAAACTTGCTGAAAAAATCAGTGTCCTATTGCATTCTTTTCGGTAGTTATAAGACTCGAAAGGCTTAAAATGATACTGCTATTTGATTATTGATCTAATTTTGTGGAACTCACATATATTTTCGAAGAAAATAGTGAGTGTAAGTTTTAAGTTCGAGGTTTGGCGGCTCCCCACCCTCCCCTTACAGACCATAGCAACGAAGAAAGAGAACATTATACACATACCCCCCCATTACAGACCATAGCAACGAAGAAAGAGAACATTACAGACAATTCCATTACAGACCATAGCAACGGAGAAAGAGAACATTACAGACATACCCCCCATTACAGACAACCTTCCTCCCCCATTACACACATCCCATCATTACAGACATACCCCC